GTTACAGCACAGGAACAGGCCCTTCGGCCCTCTAAACCTGCACTGAAATGCTGCCGTCACAACTAAAACCCCCTACTCTTCTGGGGACCATATCCCTCTATTCCCATCCTGTTCATGTATTTGTCAAGACACCTGTTAAAAGTCACTATCATAGCTGCTTCCACTACCTCTCCTGGCAGCAAGTTCCAGGCAACCACCACCCTCTGTGGTTTAAAAAAAAAACTTTTGTTGTGCTTTGTTGGAACATTGCAAAATGCTAACCTGCAAGCAGAATGATTAATTGAAATTGCAAACAACTGGAAGGGGTGGGACCATTTGTCCAAACAGTGTTCTGCAATCAGTCACCCAGTCTGCATTTGGTGTCAGAAATGTAAAGGAGACTGCATTGTGAGCAACAGGTAAAGTAGATTAGATTGAACAATGTATGGTGGAGGGTTGCTTTTCAGACTGGAGGCCTGTGACCAGTGGTGTGCCACAAGGATTGGTGCTGGGTCCACGGCTTTTTGTCATTTATATAAATGATATGGATGTGAGCGTGGGAGGTGTCATTAGATGACACCAAAATAGGAGCCATAGTGGACAACGAAGAAGGCTACCTCAGAGTTCAACAAGATCTTGATCAGATGGGCCAATAGGTCAAGGAATGGCAGCTGGAGTTTAATTTAGATAAATATGAGGTGTTGCATTTTGGAAAGGCAAACCAGGTCAGGACTAATTCACTTAATGGTAACGTCCTGGGGAGTGTTGCTGAACAAAGAGACCTTGGAGTGCAGGTTCATTGTTCCTTGAAAGTAGAGTCGCAGGTAGATAGGATAGTGAAGAAGGCGTTTGGTATGCATGCCTTTATTGGACAGTGCATTGAGTATAGGAGTTGAGAGGTCATGTTGCAGCTGTACAGGACATTGGTTAGACCACTATTGGAATACTGTGTGCAGTTCTGGTCTCCTTGCTATAGGAAGGATGTTGTGAAACTTGAAAGGGTTCAGAAAAAATTTACAAGGATGTTGCCAGGGTTGGAGGGTTTGAGCCATAGGGAAAGGTTGAATAGGCTGGGGCTATTTTCTGTGGAGGCTGAAGGGTAACCTTTATAAGAGGTTTATAAAATCATGAGGGGACACAGATGGTTAAATAGAAAAGGACTTTTCCCCATGGTAGGGGAGTCCCAAACTAGAGGGCATAGGTTTAAGGTGAGAGGGGAAATATTTAAAAGGAATGCAAGGGGCAACTTTTTCACGCAGAAGGTGGTGCATGTATGGAATGAGCTGCTAGAGGAAGTGGTGGAAGCTGGTACAATTACAACATTTAAAAGGCATCTGGATAAGTACATGCAAAGGAGGGGTTTAGAGGGAGACAATAAGGGCTGCAGATGTTGGAAGCCAGAGTTGTAGGTATGAGGCTGGAAAAGCGCAGCAGGTAAGACAGCATCCGAGGAGCAGGTAAGTCAACTTTTGGGGCCGAAACTCTTCGTCAGGACTGGGGAGGGGGGGGGGAGCTCAGGAATAAATAGAGGAAGGGGTGTGGGGCTGGGGGAGGGGAAGGAGAGATGGTGATAGGTGGATGCAGGTAGGGGGTTATTGTGATTAGTCCGTGGGAAGGGTGGAGCAGATGGTGAGAGGGAAGATGGCTAGGTTGGGTCAGGTCAGGAGGGGGAAGAGCTAGACATGGGATAAGGCTGGGGATAGATAGATTTTGAAGCTGCTGAAGTCAGCGTTGAGGCCACTTGGCTGTAAGCTCCCGAAGTAAAATATCAGGTGTTGTTCCTCCAGTTTACGTTTGGCCTCACTCTGACAGTGGAGGAGGCCAAGGACGGACATATCACCAGGGGAGTGGGAGGGGGAATAAAATGGATGGCAACCAGAAGGTTGGGTTGGTTGTTGCATGCAGAACACAGATGCTCCACAAACCAGTCCCCAAGTCTGTGCTTGGTCTCCCCCATGTCGAGGAGACCACATCGGGAGCAACGGATACAATAGATAAGGTTGGATGAAATGCAGGTGAATCTCTGCCAGATCCAGAAGCATTGTTTTGGGCCTTGGATGGAGGTGAGAAGGGAGGTGGGGAGGTAGGTTTTATTTATTTCTGGTTTCCCTTCTCCCCCCTCCCCTCCCCAGTCCTGATGAAAGGTTTCGGGCTGAAACGTTGACTTTCCTGCTCCTCGGATGCTGTCTGACCTGTGTTTTTCCAGCCTCACACTCTAAACCCAAGGGTTTAGAGGAATATGGGCCAAATGCTGGCGATTGGGACGAGATTAATTTAGGATATCTAGTCGGCATGGATGAGTTGGACTGAAAGGGTCTGTTTCCGTGCTGTACATCTCTGTAACTCTAAGTAATAACGCTGCTTCATTCGGAAGGTGTGTATTGGGCCTTGGACAGTGTGGAGGGAGGAGAATTGGCAAATGTTACACTTTCTGCAATTGCATGGGAAGGTGCCATGAGTAAGGGTGGGGTGTAGGGTTTGGTGAGGAAGTGTTCGATGGAAGAGAGAGTGGACCAGCGCATCATGGAGGGAACAGTCCTTGCGGAGTGCTGATTGCAGAGTGGAGGAAAGATGTTTTTGGAAGTGGTACAAACGGCAGAGGAAGATCCTTTGAATACAGAGGTGTCTGAAGTGAAGACAAAGGAATCCTATCATTGTTCACATTTCATGTTGGACTTTGCTTATGTCCTTTTAAATTCTCTTTTCTACCTGACTCTGCTGCTCGTTAATCAGATGTCTATCATTCTGGTGTCTGCATCATGTATATTGGGCCTATTTAAATTGTTCCTGGACCAGTTCTTCCCAGGCAGTGGCAGAGCAGTGATTTATGAAGCTTTAATTTAAGCTTAAATAGCTGCATCAAATGCAGTGAGCAGGAGGGAGAACATTGTCCATATTTTTTGTCTTGCCCAAATCAGGACAAATGCAAGAATGCCAAATTAGAAGTGATCACAACAATTTATGCCACAGGAGAAAATGTACTAATTGGTTGGTGAGTTGACTCCGATTGGCCAAGCAGTTGACACTGGGAAGGCGATGGGGAAATGTAGTCTTCCCAAAACTCCTGGGTAATTCAAAAAAAGGTGCAAGGCTTGAATATGTTCCTATTGGTTACACAGAACAAGTCCTTGTGTATGAATGTATGTTGTCACGGCAAGGTTTCTTCAGCAATGTTCATATTCTGAACCGTCAAGCAACAAGTTGAGACATGTAATAACACTGATCCTAGTTTTAATTGGGTGCAGACTGTAATGTGTCAAGAATTGGGGTCAGAAATGAGTGAAATCATCGATAGGGCTGTATCTTAAGTCGAGCAAATTCTGACTCTCCTGTATCAACGTACAGCTGGGATTTATTATCTGATGTGTAATACAAACCTGTTTACCTCATTGACCTTACAATTAAATCTATTTATTGAAGAGTGGCATTTGTGGGGGCTGGGGGTTAAACAACATCTTGCATTTATATGGCATCTTCAAAACAGAGTAACCTGTTCGGGTATTTCTGATGTTCAGTGATTCAGCAAGCTGTAGGGAGAGGGTGAATAGGCTGGCGCAATTTTCTCTGGAGCATCGGAGGCTGAGGGGTGACCTTATAGAGGTTTATAAAATCATGGAAAGGGTGATTAGTCAAGATCTTTTTCCCAGAGGAGGTGAGTCCAAAACTAGACGGCCATGGTTTAAGGTGAAAGGGAAAAGATTTAAGGGGGTCCTGAGGGGCAACTTTTTCATGTAGAGGGTGGTGCATGTCTGGAATGAGCTGCCAGAGGAAGTGGAGTAGGCTGGTACAATTACAACATTTCAAAGGCATCTGGATGGGTTTATGAATGGGAAGGGTTTAGAAGGATATGGACCAAATGCTGGCAAATGGGACTAGATTAATTTAGGATATCTGGTTGGGCTGGACAAGTTGGACCGAAGGGTCTATTTCCATGCTGTATAGCTCTATGACTCAACTAAAACTTGCAGCATTAATGAAAATTGCTCAGATTCTGAAACAGGGTTGTCCTGCCCTTTGGGACAATCCTTTGATGTAACAAATTAGTGAGCTTTGTCTCAGGGAGCTGAGTAAATTGGCAGCCACTTAGCTCCAATGCAAATTTTCTACTCTCAACACCAGTCTACAGTGTTCTTCCCATTTTCTTTCTCTCCACTTATTTCACACTCCTGTTCCTCTTCTTCATCTGACTCCCTTTCCCTCTCTGAAAGCCGCTTCCTTGCATTTTTGCTCCTTCGCTATCTACCCACTCACTCTTCAACCTTTTCCTCATCCTCTCTCAACCTTCTCTGTTTCTTCATTCTCTCTGCCTTCTTGTTCCCTACTCCTCTCTCTCTCTCTCTGTCTGTCCTCTCCCATCACCTTTTCCTCTGCCCTTTCTACACCTCGTCACTTTCCCTCTTCTCTCACCTGTCCACTCTCATCTTTTCCTCTGCTCACCCTGTACCCCCTCCCCAACTCTCCATCTGCCCTACCACCCTTTTCACCTTTTTCCTCTTTCCCTCCCCATCCCTCTTCACTCCCTCCCGCTCCATCTTTTCCCTCTCCATTTCTGCCCCTGTCATCTCCTCCCATTCTGCCCATTCATCTGAATCCCCATCTATTTCTTTCCCCTTCCCTCTCTCCATTCACCTCCCCCCC